CTTTTCATTTCAAGGGGAACAAACAACATCTCACAGGGAACCATGGGGTGGAGGTCTAAATTGCACAACCACTACGATCACCATCACCATTATTTTGTTTCAATACCACCCAATAGCTGCAGCCCTCTGGGTGGCTTATGGCAGCACACAAAATGCAATAAGATTACAATACAAATAAGAGCAAAACTTCATAAAAATATTCTACAAAACTTCAAAGCCAGATTTAAAATCAAGTTAAAATAAATTAAGTAACACAAAGTAAGACTGAGGACCTGTTAGACAGCTGAGATAATATATATTTGGGCTGATTAAATGTGCTTCAGAGAGGTCAGTCTTAACCTGGCATGGAAAGGATTGTAGAACTGACACCAGGCAGGCCTCAGGGGTGGGGGGAGCTTGCTCCATAATTAGAGGGCCACCACTGAGAAGACCTTTCCTCTAGGTTTCCTCAAATGAGATTCCCTCAGAACTGGCCTTCAGAGGAACACCCTAGACCTTACCTAGGTAGATTGTGTCTGGGAGAGGCCTCAGAGTACTGTGGTGCAAGCTGAATGCTAGCACAAGTTAAGTTTCTGAAATGCTAGTGAACTTCCTAATGCTCTTCCTAGTGCTGAACCAAAGCAGGAGAATATTCTTTGTATAGAAGAATGGGAAATATTTCAAGCTGGTGTTAGGCACGGAAAATCCAGTTTTATATTGCAGGAGAATGGCTTAGGAAGCTTCCAGGTACCACATAAGATCTCTTGTCCATCCAATTCAGCATTGACTGCCATGATGGGCAAGAGCTTTGCAAGGTTCCATTCTGAGATCGACAGGTAAAAAATGTTATTTCCCAGTCATACCACCCATGACTTGAGCCTTTTAAAGAAGGATGGAACCTGACATTGGAACAGTCGAAGCAGATACTCTTATGCTGAATTTTGGTCTTCCAGGCATTCAGTGCCAGTCCTTTTAGGGCAGGAATGAGAGGAATGCCACGTGCAGTTCTGCCTTTGTGGAGACATCAGAGACTGGGCAGTTGGGGCCAGCATGACCAAGTGTCCCCTTTTACAGAGGCCAGTTCTCTAATTGCAAAGGTGTTCTGTCCAGTTCAGTTCATAGACAAAAAACCAAATGAACAGCACGATAAACAAGCAGGTCATTTGACCACCAAGAGTTAGATGAACTAGAGTTCAATAATAATGATATTGATGCTGCTGCTGATTTGCTATGTACTGTCAAGTTGTCTCCAACTTGTGGCAATGCTGTGACTGAATGCCCTAGACAGCCCAGCTCAGGCCTGTGACTTCCTGTATGGACCTGGTTCCTCTCCTGCCTTTGACCTCCCCTGGCATTATTGTTTTCTCCAGGGAGACCTGCCCTCTCAAGTTGTGCCCAAAGTGCAACATCCCGTTTCATCACTTTTTGCAGGCTAGATTTGATGCAGCACACACACGTTTGCCTTCTCTAGGTCCAACTTATTTGCAAAGCTCTCCTTCTGCACTATCTTTTAATTGCATCAATTTTCTTCCTGCCAGTTTCCTTCACAGGCCAGCTGTAACAACAAAACATAGCACACACTCGCACACACATATATAAAATAGATTATGCAAATCTGATGCAAATCCATGCCCTTTTATGTTCTCTTTTTTGTAATGTAGTTCCTTTAACTTTTATTTTTTTTAATTTTTGGTGATTCAGAACTAGACAGGGCTCCCAAATCCGTTACTTTGAGCCAGTTTTACTCCTTTGCTGTAATTTTTAACAATCAGTTTCTCTCGCCCTTTCTTTTGAACACTTGTAATACAAAAGAAAGCACATATCTGCCATCCCATTAAATAATTCAGGCCTCCTTGGTAGAGCCCATTTCTTGCCTCAGTGCTCACATTCCCTTCTCCACCTGCACACTTCCCATTACACCTTTTGGGATGCACCATGAAAGAGCACCCCATTATTTCACCCCATAAATCTCTGGGTGAAGATGCCTTTGGATTGCAATGAAGCTGCGATCTGAGCTAAATGAACTACAAACTTTTAATCTGCAATCGCCCTACATTGCCCCATGGAGATTAATGTTGACACAACTTTCATCTGCAAATTGGGACAAAGAGCAGGTCGAAGGGATTATAGATTGTATAATGACTTAGTAACTAAAGTTTTAAAACCCTCTGGAATCCATCCATCCGTCTTGATGATGAATAAAATAAAAAGCTCTATTACCCTTCTCTCTCTTTCTCTAGACACACAAGGTCTGTGTAGTGCTTTGTTGAGAAAATTGTCTACCATCCAGTATTATTCAATTAGTAATACTCTAATCAGGTATCCAATTAAAATGCCATTAAACTCCAGAAGATTGGCCCTGACACCACCATGCCTGGAATGGTGATATTTGTCTGAATTTATTGCAGAACATACCAGATTTATTAAGAAACAACATGAGTTAGCATGAGATTAGAAGAACTTTCTTAGACTGAATTCTGCATTAGATGAAGGAAATCCAGTGCCTTTCATTGATACTTGGCCATCCTAGGAAAAACATGTTTTGTATTTGTAAATCAATGTATTTTTTGTATTGTTATATTTAATGGTAATTTATTATGTACTATTGTATTTCAACGTATTTTATCATGTTGTAAGCCGCCCCGAGGTTTCGGCAAGGGGCGGCATAGAAATGTTATAATAATAATAATAATAATAATAATAATAATAATAATAATAATAATGTTTGAGTAGCATCCAGTTCAACTAAGTGGCACAAGACAAATGTGTGGATATACCCAAAAGCAACATGGTCATTTCCGTCTAGATCAATTATGAATGCTGTGAAGCAGGAAGTGAAATGCATAGGTTCTGAGCCATCAAGTCATCCCTGACTCAGGCCAACCCCATGAATGAAAGCCCTCCAAAATATCCTGTCCTGAACAGCTCCGTTCAGCTATTCCAAGTTCAAGGCTGTGGCTTCCTTTGGCCTTCCTGTCCATCTTCTGCCTTCAATTTTCCCTAACATGGTTGTCTTCTCCAGGGAGTCTTTCCTTCTCCTGATATGTCCAAAGTGAGGTACCAGGCCTTTACACACTGGGCATTCACAATACCACTGGAAATTGAAAATGCAGCTGTTGCTCTAAATATCTGATGATGGTGGTGGTAATGATAATTGGTATTGAGTTTTCGAGTCTATAGGTGATAGCATCTGAGACTCAGAAAGTGGCTTTCTTGAAGCCAGTTCTAGGTAAAAGCAGGATTCAAGCAAGATTTCCACCTTGTAGCTCAGCTTCATAGTCTTTGTGCTGCATCAGGACTCAAGTGTCATGTCAAAGTTTTGCAAACTGATATGAGCTGGAAGCAGTTGCTTCACAGAGCGTCTGCCCCACCCTGGCAGTTTAATTTTCCCAGGCTTGCTGCAGGGACATACCAAATTTTGCACCTGTATGGAAAACTGCTTTTGCGAAGATGAACCTGGTGTCCTAAACTCTTGGAGTTGGCTGCAAGGGATTCCTTGCTTTCCAGTGCTAGATATACCAGCCCTAACCAGGAAAGGAAAGAACTCCCGGGACACTGCTATGAAACACTGACCAACCACAATGGGTCATTTGGGTGCTTTGAAGTGTCTTCCTTCCGTGGTGCGATGCTGCTAGCATGCATAGGAGGAACAATGCATCAGTTTCTCAAGGCCACATCAAAGAAGGGCTGGGATGGGGGATGCAGTAATTTCATGCTGCAAACACAGTAAATCAACATAACAGCTCATTAATTTTTAGCTATGATGACTCAATGGTGCCTCCATACTCAGATGCAGTTCACCTGTGCTTTCTAGATGCTGCTGGCAAATCTTAGGGGATTTTTTTGCCTTCATGTCCTCCATGTGAGCTTCTCAGAAGCATAGGTTCTGGCTGCTGTTTGAAATCAGAAGTGGGTCCCAATAGAAGCATGTTCTGATCCAGTAAAGGCAGTCCTTAGTTGCTTATGAAAAGCACTTTGGGTCCAGGGGCTCACCTCTGTGTAAGTGCACACAGAAGGTCCGTAAATGACCCATTGCACAGATTACACAGGGAGGATGCAATCCTTTGAATATTTAGAAAGAAACAAGCCCTAAGATTCCTAAAATGCTCAGCATGCCTCATCCAACATGACTGGCTGGAAGGATCCTGGGAGTTGTGGAACTCTTTTTCTCCCTAACTTGCATAGGATTGCACCTTCCATAGACAGCATATTGGTGCACAAAGGATGAAAAGCCAGTTTCCAAGCAGTTTCAAAGCAGCCAGTTCTGTGCCAAAGCAAACACACCCACAGATGCACGGAATTCCAGGTGAATCTGTCCTGCCCCAGCCAGGTCTGCCACAGAAAATACATCTTAGCACAACCGGAAGCCCTTTCTCTTCTGCTTGTGATCATTTCTGAGAAGGGGGTTTCAGTCTGAGTGATTCCACAGATTTAGTCCAAGCTTAGCACACATTCTCTTCCCCTCCCTCTCCTTTTCATGCCACCTGGGTTGCTGCAGCAAAGGGCTAGCCCTGAACACATGAATCCATGGTCATGTCTGAACAAAACTTCTGCCGAGGGCATCATCTTGTCTGTTGCAACACTGGGCGACATCATCCCGTAATTACATGAAAAGCTGTTCTTGTTGCCAAGGCACACCCTGGGCTGGGCTCGTCACTCCAAACGCAGCTGGATTTTGAAACCTGCCTCCAGCAAATGGCTCTGTCTTGACAAACAGAAGCAAATCCACAACCCCCCGTCCCTTCCCGAGCTATGAATGGAAGCTGAACTGACTGTTCAGGGCATTCTGTTTGGTGCTTTGATTTCATTTTATCACTTTGGGAACTGATTATTTGACCCAACCAGAGAGGGATATCAGTGTTGCCCATTCCATGAGAGCCACTTGCGCATTGCCAGGAACCTGTAATTCCCAGGCCCCGCAGTCCAGCACCAGATGCCTGAGTGATGAACAGCAGCTGACTTTGAAGCTGGCTTCATGCTGTGTGATTTCACTGGTTTTCTTCCCTCCTTCCCTCCCACAGACTGAGCTTTCTCTGCAAAAGGAGCAGCTGCAGCTCAAGATCATCGAGCTTGAAGATGAGGTGGATAAGTGGCAGAAAGAGAGGGATCGTATCAAGGTGAGAAGTGCACAATCCACCCACCCCCTTTCCCTGCTTTCTGGATTCCACCTTCTATTCCTGTCTTCACACTCCTGCTCTCCACCTCCTACATTACCTTGCAGGAAGTCCCCATCCTGATTCACACCTTGGCCTCCACATAACTTTTCTTGGCTCTTGTCATTCCTCACTTCCATTTCCCCCAGTGTTGCTTCATTTCCCATCCCTTCTCCATGTTCTCACCGCTTGCTCGCATTTCTTTTTGAGAAAATCCGCAGGGATTGAACAACCACATGGACTGAGAAGAAGGCTTCCCAGGAGCTCCCTTGGCAGGAAGCCCAGAACACACAGCATGGGCTCACACTCCAGGGACTACCCAGTGCATTAAGTTTCACACTTTGGCTTTGCCAAAAATGTCTGTTGATCTTGCCTCCCTGGGCCTCATCCCTGAGCACCTGAGGAATGTTGCAAAGATTGCATGGAACAAAACATGCAAACCCTGCACCCTCTCTCCAAACTACCGAGAGAACCGCTCCTAAGGTAGCAGACTTCCACCATCTGAATTCACAGCACACCATGAGAACTTAAGTGCAGTAATTTGTTTTTATGCATTATGTTTATTCTGCCCTCCTTTCATGGAGTTGAGGGTGGCATTCATTTTGCTCCAGGCAGTTTATCCTCACAAGCCCATGAGACATATGAGGCTGATGAACCCATGGTGATCTTCATGGGAGTCCTGGATTTGTACCCCTAATTCCATAGCCCTGGTCCAATACATCTCGCTGGCTTAATTATATGTTTGTGTGATGATACCTTCAATTATCCAAAGTTTGAGGTCTTCCTTAACACCTCTTATCTGAACTATTCTGATTTATCCCATACTGAGAAGAAGCAAAATATTCTTTGCTATTGAGCAAGAGTATGGAAGATGCTGCCACTTAAAATGCCATCTTGGTTGGTATCCTATCCTAAAAGTTTCCATTTTGAGACAGGGCCCTACAAGACATCCTCACAAGGGTTTTAACTTGCACATGAGTATAGCAACAAGCTTATCAATTTACATCGTACATTTATCATTCCCTAAGGTACAGATTGCTCTTGGGGAACTTTCAGTGAATTCACATTGGGGTGGAATATTCTAGGTAAAAACCACCAATGTTTTTAGATTAATAGCCGCTTGGGAAGCCATAAATTGATGGTGACATCACACCTGGTGCTTTGTTGTATCTCTGCCGCAGGTTATATCCTGAGTGATGAAAGCACCCTTTGAGTTTTCTCTTTGTTCAGCTACTCTTGAACATCCTAGACAGTAGGTTGGATTCTGCACTTGTTATAAGCCACAGCTGCAAGGAAACCCCTTGTGTGAGAGGGTGTTGAGGTTGTGAGTAACAGCACTCAAATTAGCAGCCTGTTTTTCCAGGCTTTACAAAGACATACATGGAAGAAGTTGCCCTGCTGAGTTTGGGCTGGGCGCACAGTTTATAATGTGAGATAGCATGGAAGCCCAACCCTGAGTATGCAGTCAAAATGAGTATATCAAGGAGAATGTGTCTAGCATGACCTTCTTTCTGTTACAGTCATTAGTTTATTTTTAATGTCAATTCAACCATGCATAATTGGTTTTCAAATAACGAATGAGTTCCTCCAAGCAGTCTCGCTTTCTCTTTCTTGCTAGAACTTTACTACTAATGAGAAAGCCACAGTAGACCAGCATTTCAAAGAGCTGGTGCGTGACCTGGAGAAACAGCGTGATGAAGTGAAGGCTGGCCTGGACCACAGGGAGAAGGTGGCTGTGGAGAACATCAAGGAGATTGTGGAGGAGCTGGAAGAGAGAGCCAAGCTATTGCAAGAGGACAAAGAGACAAGGGAGCAAATAGGCCAGATCAGTGACTCTGTGCTCTTCCTCCAGGTAAGCAAGCCTGTTTCCTCCACTGCCTGCAGAAAGTGATCAGATGGGAAACATCTGTATGATTTCAGGCTAAAAGCCATGATCTGGTTAGTCCATAGTCTGTGCAAAGGTACATGAGTGTACATCTACATCTAGGCATCACAAAACATAAATTCTGTGCCCTGAGACGTCAAAGTGGTGGATGGGCTACAAAGGTTTTAAATAAATAAATAAATAAATAAATAAATTGTGCACAAGCAGCAGCTTCTGAAGAGACTTAAGTGCAGGAAATTGCAGTAATTCCTACCCAAACCCTGGAAAAAGGCCTGCCAGAGATCATGTCCTTTCAAATGTATCTTTATTATCAGCTCACAAGCACTCCGTGCAAATGCGTATTCCACCTTTCTGCCAATGAGCTCAGTTTGTACATGCAGGGTTTCAGTGAGGTCTCCCCTGCAGGTACTGACTGGATGCAGAATTGCTCAGCTGTGGCCAGGTGGCTACTTCAGCTGCCTTCAGACCATGTTGTGATCTTTCTCCTTTGCTTATGGTCCTGACTTTGATTTCACCTGGCAGGAATTCGGAGCCATGATGAGGAATTACACCATCCCTCCCTCTCTGCCTACGTACAGCATCCTGCTCGAGGGCGAGAACATGAGCCCTGCCATGGGGCTGCTTAGAGACGACCTCCTGAATGTGTGCATGAGGCACGTTGAGAAGATCTGCAAGGCAGACCTCAGCAGGAGCTTCATTGAGAGGAACCACATGGAGAATGGTAGGCAGCCAAGAGCTGGGCTGGCCCACTAGCCTTTTAATCCAGTGCACAGCTGGTTGGCCCTGGTTGGCCCTTCGCTTTCTAGAGAGATCCCAGTTCACTGAGTTCTGAGATTCAGCTTCTTTACCTCTTCAGTATGGATGGTCACAAAAATGGACAGTGAGGGCCTCATGCCTATCTCCAGGGCTGGTGCTAAGTATGTATATAATGTATGTTAATGTGTGTATTCTCCAAAGCATAAAATTCCCCTTGATAAATGGGATTCAAAGGCAGTGTTTCTGATCCTGGAGGAAATCTCCAGCCATCATGTCTAGAAGATTTGACATTCTAACTGAACACACACACTCACTTTCCTCTTGATACAGTCTATCTCTGCTCATTAAAGACCTCTGTGCTTGCTGTAGGTGTCGCTTTCCACCATTCTTGCATCATGCTTGATATTCTGTTTTCAGCTGTGGGTACCAAAACATGCTGTGGCAGATGCTTACAGTCTCTCCAATTCTATATTTGATCCACTTCTTCATCTCTGTGGATTGTACAGGAGTGGTCCAACACATCTCCAGCACTTCAGAGGTGTTGGAAGCCTACAGAGATTTGCAAGACTCTTTGCAAAGAATAAATAGAGGGAAGTTGGATACAGATCTGAACGAAATTATGGGGACCTGGGGTTTCCACAGCAACCTTCATCAGGAGATGCATCAAAGATTTTGTCCTATAGAAACTGTATTCCAGTTCCTCATCTCCTTTTGACAAATCAAAAGGCAATGGGAGACATTCAGTGCCCATTCCTGGCAATCCCCCACCTGGGCTAAGCAAATTCTCTTCTGAGGGATGGAGATGAGCTCTTATCGCCTTGATCCAGTTCTCAGCACTGGCCACGCCACCATTAAAGTCATTTTTCCTCTTACAGCTCTTGTGATATGGAGAAATATTGTCTCTGTTTTGCAGTCAAGCCTCTGAGATAGGAAGCAGATTCAGGTCTTATAGTCAGTACAGTTTGCTGTAGATAAGAGAGCAAGTTTGGTTGGGGGTTGAAATTTCAGGGAGGGAGGGAGGAGAGGGAGGGAGAGAGAGAATGAATGAATGAATGAACGAGCAAGCACAAGAAAGATCTTTTTATTGGGTCTTTGCATAATAAAGCCAAATGTTTAAAGTTACTAACATATATGGCTATTGTTATTGTTACTATTCCTCCTCCTATTGTCATCTGCCCAAGTTTGACGAGAACATTCTGCTCCCACCACCCGCCGAGACAGCACTCTTTGCACTATCCACTCCTGTCAAAAAGGGGGAAATGCCTGTTTCTGCTGATTTATAATTGGTGTCTCCTCTTGAGAATGCTACAATGCAATTTTCACAGCTGGCCAAGTCCGAGAGTAGGAGCAAAGAGTGTTGATAAGTGTTCACCTCCTCCAGCATGGGCAGGAACCACAGTGGAAATGTGCAAGGAGGGGAAGTCTGCTGAGACTGATTATGGAGATTGGTAGGTGGCCATAAAGTACAGGTTAGGTCATAAAATGTTGGCTTCCGCAGAATGTTGCTTACCCCTTACCAGCAGGACTTCTGCACATGATGCATGAAATGCCCATTTAAGGCACACTTTTGTGCACTGCTAAGTTGGAAGAAGTGAGCATTTCTGGTTGCCTTGTTCAGTGGCAAAGGCCTCAGTGAGGTCTTGAAGGAAGGAGAACATCATTTCTCCTCCTATGCAGGTTGGTCCATTCTCCTCAGCCAACCGGAGCAACATGGTCACATTGATCCCAACTTTCCTTCCAGCCAGTAAACTCAAGAGGGTCACAAGGAGAGGAGAAAAAATGTGTAAGCTGCCTTGGGTCCCTTGCAAGAGGAAGAAAGTGGGGTCTACATGTGAGCTCATACTAAGAATGAGGATGATGCACAGGAAGGGCTGGAATGAGTTTTAAGGACAGTTGCCAGTCCAAGGTTCCATCTAGCATGCTTCATTCTGTTTCCAGCCAGGGCTAGTGAGATATACCTGTGCATCCTTGTGAGCAATAAAGTTGCTCGTTCCCAGAATCTGGTCCTCAAAGGGACTGTACCTCTGGAGACGGAGGATTTATTTAGCTCTCATGATGGTCACAGAGCATGGAGATGCATTCCACCAGCTCATGAGGACTGTCCGCACCTTTGAAACCTTTGTGGGCTGCTGCTTTTCAGACCCTCAGCTTAGGTCAGCCTTCTTGGATTTGATGCACTACGGATGTGTTGGGATACACTCCCATCCTCCACGCTCTGCACACCCAGTGGAAGGAAGGCTGGTTCATAGTTTTACCATGGAGTCCTTAATTCTCCTTCTGGGCCCGTGACTGTTCTTTATCTCTCTGGTTGTCTTTTTCAGGTGACCATCGCTTCATGATGAACAACTACTCTGAATGGAACCAGCCTGACAGCTTGAAGAGATTTTCCATGTTCTTGACTCCAAAAGGTATGAAGGAGAGAGTGCAGCTGGAACTGGTTACTGAGTTGTGTGTCTTGTCCGTGTGAGTCCTACCACTTGGTTTCAGCGTGCTGCTAGTGCTTTATGCCTGGGGTACGGAACCTCAGCCCCAGGGCCAGCTGCCTCCCTGTGCAGCCCTGGACCAGCCCATTGCCTGCTTGTGGCCTCACCGCCTCTCCTCCATCTGGTGATTCCCTTTGTGTTGTATTGTTCCCTTTGTATTGTTCCCTTCCCAACTCCCCCCCACCTCACACCATTCCAGAAGGTTGAATTGCCTTTCTTAAGGCTTGATTGCTGGCTGTAAGGGCTTGAAGGTAAATTTTCCAGTATTTGTCTACTGGATTGTAGACTAGAATTCAGTCATCAGGCTGAAAGAGATCCCGCATGTTTCATGTTGGTGAGCAGATTTGGGTTGCCCTGATATTGTTTCCTGTTGCTTCCCCATATCTTCCCTTCCAAGAGTGCCATTTTCCATTCTTCTCCTTTGCTTTCTTGGCTTCATTTGTGCCATGTGCATTGCATTTGTTTGGCTGCGAGAGCCCTTGTGAGTTTGAGAATGCTGTCTCAGCAACGTAGCCCTCTTCTCTGGCTTTCCTCTAAGCACTCCGTGAACATGGGACTTGGGGATGCCTCCTGACCTCCATTCAGCGACTGGCCTCATCCCAACCTTTGCAAATTGAGCCAAACCTGAGTAAGGACCCCATATATGTAGGACATGATCCAGAACCCTGTGGTTCCCAGTCAATGTCAGGTTTCATCATCCCCTGCAGCCAAATGCAGAAAGATGGGGTGAGGGCAGTGATGGTAGATGAGTAAGGACAGTGAGGAATGAAGCCAGCTGTTTGATTCTGCTTCTCTCTGCACATTTGTTAAAAGCATGTGCTGGGGAGAATAATACGAGATGAGAGCTTGCATCTAATATGATAACAGCCCAATCAAACAGGGAAATATATCTTTTTAGACTGAGCAGCAGTGAGGGCAAATGAGGTCAAGGGCAAGGAGGAAGAAGATTGGGGAGGAGGGTAGAGGAAGAAAAGGTCTGCAAACAGCATCATAACAGCATGAACAGTCAGCAAGCTGGGCATTTCAAAAATAAAATTTGCTCAGCTGTGTTGAAGATGCCAATCTGCAAATGAGTACTGAAATTAGAGAATCTTGTGCGCAGAGAGAGCATAAATTACTTCTCCTTGCCTTCCTTTGCCCTCTTCTATTTTATACTGCATATTTTTATCTAGTTGAGAACTGAGTAAAGCTTAACCATTCCCTCCCTGACCTCTTTGGAGGCCTTGATTTGATAGGCTGAGCTGTGAATGCCCCGAATATACACATCCATCACCTTAGACATGTTCCACATTCTTTGGCTCTCCACTGAGAAGCATTTCTCCTGCTCCACATCTTTATCATACACAGCCTGAGTCTCAACAAGCCCAAATTGTATTGTCTGCAAGGTAATCGGTCTGCAAGAGAGATCATGGGTAAGTAACTAATGGCCACTTCGGAGGAGCTTTGGGTGATTCAGCACAGAACTTCCATGGTGCACTGAAAGAGCAGTGCTCACCTGTGCACTGCTCACCTGTGCTCACCTGAGCAGTTTTGCTCACCTGCTCCCTGGACTGAGCACTTTCCCAATTCAGCCGCTTGTATTATTTCAGGCATGCACTGTGCTGGTTAAAGGAACATTTTGATGGGAATCCTGGACTCATCCAGCTGGTCTGCTGCCAACTAACTTCTGATTCTTATCTTTTTTTCAAATCTAGGAGGCAACTACAACACCAGAGCCTGGGAATTTTCTTCCATGCAGACTACAGAGGAGTCACTTTCGTCGGGGAACTCTGCCTTCTCCCTGAAAGGTACTTTCCTTACTTCTGATAGCATCAGTGATACTTGTTGCAAGACCTCATCCCTTCTACTGCCTCTTATGGATTTGCTGCTGTTTCCCCTGCTCCTGCTTTTGTGACCAGGGCTGTAGTTCAGCTGCAGAACACCATATAAAAACAGGTAGCGAGTCTTGGGAAATGCCCTGTATTCCAAGTGCCCTGAGCCAGTATTGTCCAGTCCTGGTGATGTGGAGCCCAAGGGAAGAAAGCCAGGAATCCATTATGGATGCTCCAGACTGGAGGCATAGGGCATGATAGCTCAGGACAAACGGAAAATCGGCAATATCCATTGTATTGATCCCAAAAGCAAGAGTGGTTGGGCCTGAGTAGCTCTTAAAAACTTTCCAGACTTAGCTGTTAAAAACAACAACAAAGGTCTGTAACAAGGAATTTACATATAAACTTATGAATAGTTCAATATCTCAAGAATATACATAATCAACATGTCCAGATGTGCCCAGAGAGACTCCTTATCAACAGGAAAAAAGTTATCTAAATGGAAATATGCCTAAATATTAGTAATGAATCAATTAATAAACAGCATTTCCCCAGTCTAGCACAGGGCTGAATTGTGTCTTGAACATTTAGCATTCCCAACGTCCCAAAGAGACTTTTAATGTTCTATCTTTGCTGCCCCTCTGCCTTGTTCACATGATATTGTTATTATTAGGAATATTATCAATTTTGTTTCTATACTGTCCAATAGCAAAAGCTCTTGGGACCACTTACAAGCAAGGTTAAATTACCAAAAACATCAACTATAAAGCATAAAATTCCACTAAGGATTTAAAAATGAATTTTAAAAACTTAACTAGCTGAGAAAGGTTTATGCAGCTTGGCCTACTAAAACCAGCTGGCAAAGCTCCTCCCCAAGTCCTTGGCACAGAAGCCCTTTGCTTGATGCAGGAAGGACCATAAAGATGGGTCCAGGAGTGACTTTGCTCAAATATGTAATGTTTTATATTTACACCATCCTTTAGCTAAAGGAGGGTTGCCAATTTTCCACCTTTTACTCAAGGATATGTATGCACAGGTTACAAGCGGTGCTAGAATTTGGACATCTTAATGGCTGAAGCTATCCCTACTATAGTAAGAAGAGCAAGATTTTCAGGACCCTGGCCAGAGCCCAGGGAGTAGAATGGTTAGGACAAGCGTGTGATCTCAGCTGAGTCTTTTTATGCTCCCTTGCTTGTTTTCTCTCTCAAGCACCACCCAGCAGTGACAAATGCTGAGCCTTATGGGGGAAAGCTCAGTCCCTTCTCTGTGCAGCTGCCTGCATCACCAAGTGAACTTAATAGAGTGAAGGGTGCCAGTCCCTCAACTAAACCAGGCCTGGGGGATGCGTTCTCTGGAGACCCAGACTCTACTTTTGGAAGTCATGGGAAGGTTGTTTTAAAGATTAACTCAGTGGTAGGCCTGGGGTTCCAAAAGTTCTGTGTACTGCATGTTCATGAGCAGCTACCTGTCAGAGCAGGCACTACTAAGTTAAATGAGTCATGGTCCGACACTATATAAGGCAGTTTCATAACTGCATCCTGGCTGTCTTTCACAGGTCTTCTCCTCCTTCTTCCAGGAAGACTGGGACAAAACACTTTCTAACTAAAGGCTTTATGCTAAAGTTGACCAGCCAGGCTCACTTTGCAGTACAAAAGACATTGCAGGAAGGTCACAAGCCAAGGCAGAATAAGCTGTTGGGGAAATGCCCCTTGATAGTAGAAGCTGATTGAAAACTGCATACATCTCCTCCCTTCCAAACCCCAAAAAACTGACTCCACCTTCCAGGCAGATCAAGCTGTTTTATGGGCTGATTGAGAGAAACATCTGATATTTCTCAGTAGATCCATCCTCTTGGTCTTATATCTGGATGATTGCCCACCCATCTCAGGTTGCTCCCCAGAATTTGCCCCCAAACTTGACGCTCTCCAGTTCCCAGCAACTTCCTAGCTCATCTCTGGTTTCTTTGGCCTTGGCATCTCAGTGGCGAACACCAACCTCACCTCTTCTTCCACTTCTAAACCAATATCCAGTCAACAACATTTTCTGGCTGTAATCTAGGATGGGTGGACTCAACCCCTGCAGGCAGTCAATGGGTGGCATTCAGAGGAGAACCAGGAAAAATTATGAAGATAAGGTGAAGGGATTGCTTCCGTTCTATGTGTCGAAGGTGCAGCAGTCAGAACTGCACAAAAATGCACCACCTATTCTTCTCTCCCAACTTCTGCACTGCAATCTGAAGTGCAATGTAATCCAGGGGCCAAAAGACCTTTCCTCCTTTCCGTGAATTTCTATCTGGTACACAAGCTGCAATATCTCTTCTCCATTGTGTGTTTGGATCTAGAGGCTTTGCAAAGGCTACAGGTGTTCCTCTGAACATGCGCCAAGGGGTCTGCAGAACCAGCAAGTCCACCTGGTATTTGGCACTGTGTTTGCAAGAGCCAAAGTGCCTAAACCTGGACACACCTGGGCCACTGGGGACACCTCCATCCTGGTCCGTTTCAGTCTTCCTTGGTTGCATAGATGGAATTGGATCACACACAGTCTCAGCCCATGTGTAGCCCCATGGCCCCATGGCAGGCCTTTCAAAGGATGTTGGGCAGGCACAAAACTCTCCCCAGCTTGCCCCCATGCACTTTCAAATGGGTGGCTGAGCATGTGGGCTTCGCGATGTGACATCGCTCTGCACTCCTGTGACAATGCACAACAAAAGTTCTCTGCAGATGACAAATTGCCATCAGGTATGCTCCAGGTCACGATAAACCCAACTGTGATGTTGAACACATCCACAAAGAGAGAAATTGACTGAGAACAAATCTGCCAGAACTTACTGTGTATAACTTCACAGTGTTAAGTTTTCATCCAAACCAGCAAGGCAGGACAGGGTAGTTCTGGTAAAGATAGAAATTATGGCTGTGTCTTAATAAATCTTAACTGATTGCTCTTATGAGCTTAAATTAGTCCTTTGATAGCCGATTTTTTAAATGTGCATACATTTGCATAAGGCTAAAGCAGTCATTCTGCAAGTAGGAAGCACTTGCTCTTTTAAAAACAGTGAGAAAAAAGTGGGGGCTTATTTTAAGGTGTCATCAATTTTTTACAAGCATGAAGAGTAATACTGATGATTGTGCTTAATTAATCAAGGGCACCTTTTAAGTTGATTGTCAGGCTCTAAAAAGCCCAACTAACCTAATTGATTATTTGATTAAACACGGCGGTTCTAGGAGCAGGAAACTTCTCAGGGTCAGGGTGAGGATGTGCTTATTCCAGAACACTGGAAATTTGAGGAGAACTTGGCATCTGAGTTTCTGATATCATGCAAATTTTGCTGCTCCTATATCAACTACACTGGCTACCAGTTGAAGTCCAGGACTGATTTAAGGTGCTAAGAATGGCATATAAAGCCCTAAACAGTTTAGGGCCTGATTATCTGAGGGAATGTCTCCTTCCTTATGAGCCTGGCCAGACCATAAGATCACCTGCAGAGGTCCTACTCTGAGAGCTCTCCTTGCAAAAGGTGAAGAGTGCTAGTAGGAGGAGGGGGGCCTTTTCTGCGATAGCACCCTGATATTATTTTAATTGTGAATTGTTATTTTAATTTTTAATATTAAGTGCTGGCACTAAGGAGTTTTCAACTGTTGCATTCTTGAATTAATTGTTTTTTATTTTTTTGTGTGCAAACAATCATGAGATTTTTAATGAATGAGATGTCTATTCTATTTGAATAGAAAATAAATAAATAAATAAATAAATTGCTAGGGCTGAGTCTCATCCCTTGTTTCCTAGTTTCTTTGATAAAAGCAGCAGCAGCCAGATTTGGGCTCTTGGCTTCCCACTGATTTTTCCTGGGAAAAGGCACACCCTTTCCACCTGCCCGCTGCACCTTGGGACCAGTTGATCCTCCCCAGGGGCTGAGGGAGGGACTCGTTCCTGAACCACCACGAAGTCACCATGGCCGGGCACATGAGGCCAAACAGGGTGGAGAGCTGGGAAGCACTGAAGAGTTTGATCCCGCTTCAATGTAATGTTGCCTCTTCTATTTTCCAGTGGGAAATGGGACCAAGATGCCATATCAGTTCCCCCCAATTGGCCAGAGTTCACCCGGCGATTTCAGCAAGCAGTCCGACGGGAGCCTCTATACTAAGAATGGTACTTCAGGGCTTCTACATGCTTCATGCTATTCTTTCCCTCTTCCTTTTTTAACTGGCTTTTTTCTGGGAGATCTGCATTCCCAATGCCCCCTGTCTGACCTGGACATCCTGGCCTTGCTCCATGCTTCCTGGGAGACAGACTCCCCCCCCATACACTTACCCACACACGAGGTGTCTCTCTCACTCTGGAACGTGTCGTCTTGCATGCAAGGAACACTGTTTCAGGGATAACCAGCCCTGCCTTGTGTCTCCACAGCTTACCCTGCAATCGTGAGGCACCAAACTGCAAAGGCCCAGCCTCAGACATGGAAGTCCTCCAAACAGAGCATGCTGGTAAGTCCCTTGTGTCAGTACATCTCGTGCTGTACATGAAAAGGGCTTTTAGAGTGCAATCCTATGCATTTTCAGAGAGAGAAAAGCTCCACAGCTCCCAGCATTTCCCAGCCAGCTGTTTCCCTGCACCGTCCTTGTAGGTGGGCTTCCCTCTTCATCGCTGAGCCAACATGCAGGGGCAAGCTCTCAGGCTGAAGTTCCACCTCCAGTCTTGGACTGCTTTTCCAAAGGGACAGCTAGGACTCTGTCCTGCCCTATGTATCTCTAGACAATGCCATCTGGGTTGTCATTGTCATTATTATTATTCTAGAATATATGGATGATGATGATGATGATGATGATGATGATGATGATAACAATATATTGATAATATAATGTAATATAATTATATAATAATATACATCTGGTCATAGGATTGTTCTTTTTTTTTAGAGTGCCTTTCCATACAAAATTTCCTAGGTGGTGTATGATACATAACCAGAAATATCCAACCATCAAATGTCAGAAATTATCCTAACATATTATTCTTATCCGGATGTCTAAGAAATTTGTTCCAGTTGTCCTTTGATATGGATGTACCCAATTTGCACCTTTTGGGCCAAGCACAGACTTGGAATCGAGTGCTGATCAAAATCCATTCATTTTCAAGCTTGCAGTGCAATTTATGAACCAAAGCCATTTGAAACAAATGAATGAAAACATCTGTGGTTTTGAAAAAATGCAGACAAAAATGTACACATTAGAAAATGGTGCATATATTTGGGAAAACACATATGAAAATCCACACAGATTTACACATGAAAACATACAAAAAGCCAGGGTTGTTAGTTTGATATGGATTCAAGTCAGAATGAGCTTCAAGTTAGAATCTGGTGAGCTCAGGTTTGGCTGATTTGTGCAACCCTATTTTATTTTAAACACACACACTATGATAGTTGCCAAACTGTTAGACTGATAAAATTCAGAGAGAAACACATCAGCATGCAGGCCCAGCTTCGGAAAGTAGAAGTACATAGGTCTTTAACCTGCCTCTGGGGGCCAGAGCAACAAGGGTCTCCGAGGCTTTCAAGATTTGTTGGGCCTTGACACAAAGGACTTGTGCCCCACAGACCCTGACCTGGCTTCTGCCTAAGAGGACCTTTTCTGCATTTCCTCATTGGGAGGTCTGAAGAGCTGGGGTGGGGAGACAATCATGCAGGGCAAGGCCTTTCCAAGAGACCTGGGATCCAAACTTCCACTCTTTCCTCCATCCTCTCACTGAGAATGTCTATAGGAATCAGCAGCCACCGATAGTCTTTTCTTCCTCCTCTTTGCGTCACCCTGCTGGGAAATGCTCTTGAAGCACCATGGCATGGATTGGAGATGAAGGCCATGCCAAGGGGAAGATCAGGGGCAGCCAAGGTGGTGGGCTAAGGATCTCCCATGGTGGCACAATGCAGGTAACCTGTTGCACTCCATCTCTGCCCCCAAAGTTCAGCATCAGCCTGGCCTCCCAAGAGGGGCCCCCTTGCCTTCTTGGCTGCCAATCTTGGGACAAAAAGAGGTATGTCTTTTTCTGGCCACAGAACCCACCACTGGAGGGGAGACTGGAGGTTAGCACCCTATAGCAGATGCACTGCCCAAAGCAACTGGCCAAAAAGACTTGCTCTCAGACAGGCCTGTAAAGGGAAGGCTGCCCGTTCCAAATGGCAGGGGGCAACCCCAATGGTGCCACTTCCTCCTGCTGCTTTGGCAGACTCTTTCTGAGGGAAACACATCCACGAGGGAGGTAGGAATTGCAGACGGCATGCAAAGAGGACCTGCAATCTGGAGAAAGTGATTAAAGGGGATCAAGGAAGGGATAGCAGCTAAGCTCGGTTGATGAAGGAGAAGATTGATCCTCGGCATTTTTTAATTTTATTTGATTTGCAAAATAGCAAGAAAAGAAAAAGGGAAAAAATGAACTGCATGATACCTGGCGGAGGCAGACAGCCTGCAAATTTCACCATCTTTAGTTCCAAAGGGAATGGGAACAGTTTGGTTCAGGCTTCTGGAAAATGAAAGGGTATTCTTGCGCTGCCCTATAACTCCAATTTCCTCAGGGCACAGATGTGCAAGCAAGTCTGGCCTCTCCACAGACCTTAGCAGGTTTTGAGCCCCCCAGTCCTGCAGGCTAGAGCCCCTATAGCTACACTCTTGCAGTCGCTTGCATTCGATGTGTGTCTGCCGGGAACTGTATGCATATGGAGCTGCAGCTAGGGCAGTTGGATCTTCAAACTGCATCTATATCCACCATCTCTATCCAAAGGAAACAGTCAGACTGACAAATAAAGGCCATGAAAAGTTTTGGCATAGATGCACTGGAGAGCCTTGACAGACCCTTTCATGGTCCACTGGGCCAATAATCTTACTTTAAAGCTGCTGCAAATATGCATTTGAGTAATCCACATGCATCGGGAAAGGCCAGCAGTCGGTGGGAGCAGGCTTGTCCCGCCAGTCCATGGAGGGAGAGCCAAAGGGCTTGTTATTTCCTTCCTCAGTTAACCACAACAGCAGCACTGCATAGCAAATGGGTTTTCTGCTCCAGGTAGCAATACAGAGCCTCAGAGACGTGGAAGGAAACTGGGGCAGAACTGGCAGGTGTCGCTGACCTATAGCCCATGACAGACCCCTCCCCATCCCACTAAAAATCCATGTAACTAGCTGGGTGAACAAGAATGCTGCTCATAATCTTGGTTTGGGTTCAACTAAGATTGTACAAGTCAGCAAAACTCAAGTTCAGCCAAGACCTGTGTATTCCATCTTGAAGCTCATTACTATATCAGATTATGAGTTGTGCAGTCTTCTTTTTGCACGGAAATCAATGTTCTTTTGTTGTCCAATTTTCCAAATGCACTCATCAATTGTGTGTGTCTTTTGAAATGTACATATTCTTCTCCCATTGATTAAAAGGCATTTGTGGGGGTTTCCCCCCGCAAAAGAACACATTTTTCTTATGTGTTTTTCAAACATTTTATTTATTTATTATTTATTTATTTCTGGGTGCTTTATTGGGGTCCACAAATCACACTGCAAGCTCCAAAATGTATAGATGTTGACCATGCATTGCATCTGAGTTTGTCTGATCAGGAGGGAGCAAGGTCCGTCAATTCCGATAAAAAAAAAATTCTCATGCATTTCTAGGTTTAACCAACTCTTCTCCTAAAGGAAAAGTAACTCACTGGATCAAAAAATTGCAAAATTTGGAACCTATGCTTGAAGTTCTACCCAATTGTTTTGGTTCCAAGACTGACTAGTCCCTAATGTTTTGGTTCCAAGATGTGGCCTATCATGTATACCCATTGTTTTATTTGAGCGCTTGCAGAGTTTTATAAGTAAGGATATTTATTTATTTATTTAAAACATTTCTATGCCGCCCCATCGCAACAAAGTCTCGGGGTGGCTCACAACACATAAATAAATACAGAAGTAATAAAAGAAATAAATAAGTACTAAATTATACAATAAATAACATGTATTATTATATGTGAATAATAATAATATTCACATCCTTGCTGCAAGGAAGTTACAATCTATATTTTGGTAGTCAGGGGAGTGGGATGTATCACCTAGCCAGGGCTCGCATCCCAGCAGGGCCTCCCGTGGGAAATGGTTTCTTCCCTACAACCTTGTCCCCAGCTTGCTTGACTGCCTTTCACTCTGGCCCAGTAAACAGTTTGGTGACAAAAGGAGCGAGGGACCCCAGGGTTCCCTCTCTCTGTGAAGCAAAAGCCCGGTAGCTATGATGAACAAGAGGAGGAGGAGGGTGGCAAGATGTGGGGGTGGTCGACTCATGGATGGAGGGCTCCCAACAAGGGGACTCACCTAAGGGCCCTCTAGAAGCTGGTGCCAAAAAAGCAAGTGGAAAAGGCCGGGGTGACAAGAGACAAAGGTGAGACAGTGCATTAACTCACAAACTTGTTTCAAAATAATGAGCAACTATTACCACATTGCATCCTTTGCCAAAATCTGGGCACAAGGTGTGGAACATGCATGTTGCTGAATCCAGATAGAGAAGAAAATAGAGTCGACTGAGCAGTGTTTCTGTGCACACACGTGTGTGTTGAGAATGGGAGGGAGGAAGCTGCAAATGCATTAAAATGAAAGGATGAAACTATGAAACTCACTGCTTTCTCCTGCAATGCTTTTGGGATTGAGCATCAAAGAGAGGGATGTCAAGGGTTCTGAGTGGGTACAGAGCTCGCTTGGATGCCCTTTGGTGCACATGTGGATTAAGCCGATTGCACCCTAAGTAGTTCTGAATTAGAGAAAGAACGGTGGGGGAGGCAGGCTGGCTCCACTGAAGGCACTGGGTACCTCCGACGGATCAGATGGAAGCTGGGCAGTGTGAGCATTCAGTGTGCATGATGGAGGCGTTAGCATGAAGTTGCAGGCAGGGGGGCTCCCGGCCAGCATGCCCTCCTGTCTGCTTCCTAACCTTGACTCACCACTTGCCTTCTCCGCTTTCAGTCTCACTACCGTCCCTTCTACGTCAACAAGGGCAATGGAATCACCTCCAACGAAGCACCGTGATCCCGGAGGTGTCCAGGAAGATCCATTCACGCTGGGAGAGGAGGCAGAAGCAAGAACTTTCCCACATCACGCTGCTGCTGTATTAACTACGCCATTCTAATATCTCTTTCTTTCTTTATTAAAGGGGAAAAGTGTTCTGGGGGAAATGTGCAGTTACGGATGTGCCATTCTAGGGGGAAATGAAGAATGCTTCCTTGGACATGTTCGTTAGGACTGTGCCACCCTTCCCGGCCTTTCTCTGCTTGGCTCTTGCTCTGTGGTCCCTGGAGGAGGGACATTCTTAGCCATGCATCTATCGCCTTCCCGTATCCTGACAGTGCTGCTCCCAGATAAGTGTTTTGATTCTAAACTACCTACCTGTGGGTTGTAACTGCAACCTTCTCCACATTCCCTCCTAGTTTCCACCATTCCTTCCTGTCCCAAGCCAGACAGTGGCTGTGAATTGATAATCCCAAAACTCTGTAGTAACCCATCAACTCAACTCTGTAGTAACCCATCAACTTTCCTGCCAGTCACCTTTTTCCGATTAAAGAAGGAAGGGGAGAAATCTATCCTGCTAATAGAAGATGTACTAGATGCCTTAGCTATTCCCTTCCCTTCAACTCTGAGATGATACTGGCTGATACGTTTTGATTCAGTTGTTTTGTTTCATTATCTAGAAGAAGAATGATCACTGGATGATCTGAGATTTATTCTTATCATGATACAAAGAAATTGTGTGTACGTGTGTTTGTGGTATTCTGCATACACAGAACTCTTGCAAATTAAGCACTAGGGCAAGGGTGATGCTTCTGCTTGTGCATTCTTAAAGCTTTAGTGATGAGCTACAGTTGCCATGGGAACCACTCTTCCCATTCCCTAAGATTGGTACCCAAGCTTGAAAGCCAATGACCACTTTCTCCAAGGTTCTCAGGTACTTAACTTCCAGGATCTTCAGTGGGTACAGGATATCTTTCCATGCACCAGATCCTTCCTTGCAGAAGAGCTTTCTTTCTAGTAATGCAGCACAACTGAGAAGTAAGCTTTATATTCCATCATGTTCAGGGCTATGATTTCTTTTCTTTCCAGGCAAACTTCCCTGCCCATTGCAACTAAACACCCTCCTAATCACCCACAACCAACACCTGCCTTCTGCTTGCTGAAAATTATTTTGCAGCTCATCCCTTAGCACCCGCTCCAAACAAACTATACTATTTTTCATTCAGTGTCTTTGACTTTTAAAAGATTGCAGTGTGAGAGTTTTGTTTCCTCTAGAACAACTTCAATCCCACTTTAAAATAAAAATAAAAATCATGTCTTTCAAGAAACAGATGCTGAAATAGGTGTTAGGAGGGCCGAGAACTGGGAATACAACTGTACTGAAAGGTTTTTAAATGATTAAGTGAGGGAAATGATAAGAAAATTGCTGTGCCTGATTGACAGATATGCCTTTCATTAGTAGAAATGGCAGATTTAAACTATAGAGCTTGAATGAGCTCTCAACAGCCATCAATTTCTACTTCTGCCCAACTTCTCAGAGGGACACAAACTGACTCCTCCAGGGTCTTTCTGATGCCTCTCTGGAAAAAAAGATTTCATAATCTCCGTAAGAAACTTGTTCTGCTTGCACAGCCCGCATTTTTGTTTGCTGAAATTTGAGACTCTTCCCAGTATTGTCATTTCTTTCATCAGGAGATGCACAGTATTTTATAACTATAATTATACAGTCATTTTAGAAACAGGCAAAGGGGTCATTAGAACCAAGTTTAGTTTAGAAAAAAGGCTAGGAAGAGGAGACATGACAGAGGTGAACCAAACTGTACATGGGATGGAGAAGCTGGATGGGAACCTTTCCTTCTGTTGTTGTAATGCTAACGCTTCAGCCCTATATACAGTTACCCAGAAGAACAGCTGTTGAACCCATTGGCTCTTACTTCTGAACAGACATGCAGAAAGGAATACACTGAGAGGTATATTTGCATCATCACAATTACAAGATGAAAACTTGGGTAACTACTGTGTCAGCAGAACGCTGGACTAGATGGATGCGTCTTACATTCTGTTTTTGGGTGTTCGCTCATTAGAGGCTATGGGGAAAAGCTCTCCTGCCAGTGATAAGTTGACGTTAATTGCCTTTACAAACAGTCTTGATCTAGAAGAACTTTGAGTTCTGGAAGTGTCTCAGTAAGTAGAACATTAAAATAATAAAGAGTTGGATTTTCCCCCCAAATGTTGAATTTGTACAACATTCTATTCCTGCTGTAACATCAAGTTCATTAACATTGTACATATAATCGTGTGTGTCTGTGCACATGAGAGGGAGAGGGAGGTTTCCTCAAAACACGATTGAGAGAAAAAGGGATACAAGCTTACAGGTTATGCTGATGGATTCATGTGTTTTTCTAGGCCAGAATGGCAAGAAAAGATGTCAACCAACTGGTCCTTGCACCTTGGGAGTGTCAGTTGACCACTGTGTCTCTCCAGCACTCACATGTGCGCTGCACACTGGCATTGGGAGCAGTGGCTTCCATAGAAAACTTCGTTGCCCCACTGCTTTGTGAATTCCTCCCCCCAGGGTAGGAAAGGGCAAAGAAGTCAGCAATGCTCTCCCTATAGCACAATGTTTAAAATCTTAAGTTATTTCTCTCTCAATATTAAGTTCCCAAGTTTTCGTAAATCCTCATTAAAACAACCCAAAATGCAATTCTTACACATCTGTGTTGGGAGGATTCAATGGGCACAGATATTCCCAGCATGAAAAGGAACATGTCATAGCTGCTCCCCATCTGCTTGTTAAAGATGAGGACCCATTGGATGGAAGAGAGCGGTGAACCCTAATTCAGCACTGTGAGAATATGTCTCAATGCACAGGGCCACAAAGGGAGACTTTTTAAGAGCTCCGCATTCAAATTCCTGGGCCTGGGTGGATGGATGTGTTAGCATCGGCTTCCATCCCACTAGGGTGAGTGAACATGCAGAGTAAACAAGGGACGGGAGGGTATCCAGGGGATGTGAGAGGGAAAACACCCTCCCTGCTCCCTCCAAGGACCTCTGCTGCAACCAGTCCTCCTTTGGCTGCATCCTTCCACTGTGTCCGCAAGGCCATATCCATTGTGTTTCTAATCAGGGTGGCTGGTGAGGGATGCTGTTCCAGAAGCACCATGCCCAGGAGTCCCCAGATACATGGAACAAAGGCCAAACTACATGTTACAGTAACATGTCCTTTGTGTAGGACCAGCATTCGCTGGCATGATTAGACCTTATCCCTGTCCCCTCCTCCCAAACATGACAGGAAACTTTAAGAAGGGGAGAGGTCTCCATTGAAATGCTTGCTTGCTTTTAACTGGCCTGTTGGACTTCTGGGGGAATTTCAGGTAAAACAAGGGATGGCTGGGAGGAAAGGTTAGACTGTCCGCTCTTGGTGTGCAGTGCCCCAATTTGACTCTGGGTCACACACAGCTATGCTAGAGTAAATAAAACAGTCAGGCTTGGCCACATGCTAGCGAGTTAACAAAACAGATAGCTTGACCCTTGGCGATACCGTTCTTTTGATCCAGGCTCCAGTCACTGGGCACAGAAGAAAAAGCACCCCTTGCCCGAAGAAGCAAATTACTTCCTCTGAAAAGGCCAGAGGTCATTGTAATGTAAATAAATGCAAGTAGGCAAGTGTTAAAATGATGCATTGCCAGTTTCAGGAAGACAAAAGCAGGGAGAAGTACAAAGAGGGTGATTATGGATCTGCTGGTCATCTTACCTGCAGAGTCCTGCAGGGTTTCACAAGAACTTGGAGCATTTCTTCCCAAAGGAACGTGAAGGAAGGATGCTTGTCACACCCCACACTCACTTTTTCTCATTTATCTGCGAGAGTGTGGTGAACTCAGTGGCTATTCCCCATCCATTCTGCTTGCGGTATCCATTACCATTATTACTGTGATTAAAAAGCAATCAAAGAAAATCTTCTTTTCCTTGAAATGCTTGTAAATGCTTAATGTCCAGCTCCAGAAATGCAAGAAACAAGGCTTGCAGATGTCCTTGCTGGCTTGAATATTGATGGTTTCTTCCAGGGAAGAAGAGATCATGGTAGACCAGCATGATCTATTTAAATCGAGTGGGATCCTGGGGCAAACCAGTCGCCCCAGAATCAACCCCCAGCCAAAGTCTTCCTGATTTCCCATATCTGAGCTTGGCGGCTAAGGCTTGTTGGAGGGGAAGCAACCTTCTAATAACTCTACAAAAGGGCCATGCATTATTGATTACCCCCCAAAAAAGCCATGCTTCACAAGACACTATTCCACCTTTCATTCTTTGACTGGTGTGCGTGTGTTTCTGTAGTAAGGAAAAGATGGAAATGGTGGGAAAACACGGGAGGGTTACAAATGGAAGACAGCATCACCTGGAACCCCTGCAAAATTTATGTTTGAGGCATGGTGGTTCACAGTAAAAAGCCTCATCCAGAACCATCCCAGAATTCTGTTTTTGGTGCACTAAGCCAAAAGTTTGAGAAGTGGGGACAAGAAAGATTTCATTTGAAAACAATTTCATGACATCAAATAACCACCAGGGAAGGTCCCTGCATCCCTGGGGGATTGCACTGTGTTGTTCTTTTTGTTTAGTGCTTTTAGCTTCCCTGCTTATTCATTCTTCTTCACATCACTAGCCCCATACCACTGGGGGTAATGGGAGTTGCACTCCAACAGACTGAGAAGGCCATGTGACATGTAGGGGATTTTCCAGTGGCTTTTTCCCTAGGTTTGCCTAAAGAAGCCAGGCTTTCAACATGGGCACTGTCTGTAAGAAAAGCACTGACATTACCACCAAGAGGCATCCCTTGCCTCCAAAGACAGAGCACAGAAAGGCCTTCGACCACGTCCATTCAGCTTAGTGTTGTCTCAGCTCATGGTGAGCCCTTGGGGTCTCAGAAAGGAGGATTTCCCAGCCATATGTGGGAGAATGCCTGGGACTGAACCTGGTACCTTTAACAGGCAGAGTGCTAACATCTCTCCAATGACACAGCTGTTACCAGAAAACAGGAGGAATCCAGGATGCACAGGCACAAGTACCCAGCAGGTGTCACTCTTTCCCTGCAGTTCA